TTTATAATAAATTTATATAAAGAATGTAAAAGTACATATTAGTTTCATAATCAATGTTATATGAATAAATTTAATTAGATAATTAATAAATTAAATATTAATTTTTATTTTTTTAAAATTCCTAACTTTTATTTTAAGATAAAAATTAAATAAACCCTAAAAAAAAAAAAATCTCTTTTTAGTTGTCATTGGGCTTACGGCTTAGACCACATCCACACGAATTATTAGTTTGCAGCTCAGTTTTGAATAAGTCGTGGTATTATCATTGACTTAATAAATATAAACCCTTCTTGTTTCCTGTTAAGGAAAAGAAGTCCTTTTCATGTTGATCAATAGAAAAATAACAATGGGAAAAAAGGAATTACTTATCTCGATCTCCCATAAATAGAATAAAAAATATCACTTCTAAACATTAATTGACTTCTTAGCATTTACTCCATCTAGTTTGAACTTTGAAGAGGGGGGTACACAATTCCAAACATTAATTAATAATTTTATGGTAAAAAAATTCAAACAAAAAACTATAAATGAAAAAAAATCTTACCTGAAAGATATACTTTATTTATTTTAAAATAATTTTATTTAGTTAAAAAATATTTTTAATTATCACTCATATATTATATATAAAAATTATTTATTATTGTGAGTAGCGAACATTTTGATTAATTCTCACGATCAAACTCTTTTTATATAATTTGGTATAACTCAAGTGATTTCACATAGTTTTTTTTTTAACAAATTTGCAGGAATCAGATTTGAACCGTTGCTCGGTGTGGAGAAATACACTTAAAACATAGTTTAACGCTACTGGATCCGAAAGCCCAAGTGCGATTTAACATAATTTTTTAATATTAAAAGTTGAATAAAAAATATGTATACTATATAATATGGAAATAACATATAATAAGAGGTTGATGTTGGTATTATAAAATAAAAGCGTACAATAAAAGTCATAAGTAGACAAAAAAAAAGAAAAAGAAAACTGTAATCCATCAGATTAGAAAAGAGCAAGTAGTAACTCTTTTTAATTAAGCCAACTAAG